CCTCCCTCCAGGCCGTGGCTCCTTGCTGTGGGGCTCAGAACGGCGTGGGTTCCCTCCCCCCAGCCAACTTTGGGTCGGTTTATGGTGGTTTTGTTGGCCAGGCTACGGGGAGAGGCACTCAGTCAGGCAGCGGCCTGGCAGCACGCAGCCAAAGCGGCCATGGGGAGGAGGGGCAGCCTGCATGGGCCCTGTCTGCTCCAGCCCTGTGGGGGAGGAGGACCAGGGGGATCCGTGAGGACATCACACAGGGCCTGGAGCTCACATCACCAAGCCAAGGCCTTTCTGCAGCCTCACACCAGGCCGGACTCCTGCAGCCCAAATTAGCACAGGCCAAGGCGGTCGCTTGGGTTTCAGCCTCCATGGCTGCTCTCGGCCTGGTCTTACGGGGACACAGCCCTGAGGCCCACACCGGCCCCTCTGCAGGACTGAATCCCCTGCCCTCCCTGACCCCATCACTTGCCCTGGCAGCGTGGGCAGAGCCATGACTAACGGAGATGCTCCCGTCCCCTCCAGCCACTCGCTGGGGTTTTTTGTTTTCCGGCTCCCGGAATATGAAGCAGGTGTGGCCGGGAGGTGGCAGCTCCTTCCCCTCCCTGGGGAAAGGAGAGGTGCTGGGGCTGTTTTTTTTGCCCAGTGCATGCTTTGGGGGCTGCCCCCTGAAATAGAAGTGCTGCAAGCATCGAGCATGTTCCATTGACACCCATATGCAGAAAGCTCTCAGTGTGGCCTGTATGGAGAGGCTGCATTGGAGGGGAAACTAAGGCACTACAGCTGGGAGGTGGTACCAGCAGTAAGGACAAAGCAGTAAGGACACCCTTATGCTGTTCCTACAGGGTCCTTCCCGGCACCTTTCTTGCTCGCAGGCCATTATTGTCAGTTGCTTGGGTCAGATGCTGCCTCAAGGCTCTGCTCCCATCACTGGGTATTGGGTGTGGGTGGGGGCTGTGTGTGCTTGGATGAGGCCCTCCTGTGCTGGCAGCAGGAGCTGAGACTGCCCCAGGGGGACAAGAGAAACCTGTGGGGCTGTGCCTGGCATCATGCCACTGAGATGCAGCAGTGTCTCTTAGGACATGAGATGCATGAGCACTGCCTCCCTGTGGTCTCAACTGGTTAATCCCCCCTTCCCCAACCTAGTCACAATCCTGTTTCCATCACTGGGGAAACTGAGGCAGAAACCAGCGGCTGCCGGGTCTCTGCATGTGTTGTCCCAGGCTCTGGGCACTGGTTACAAAGTCCAGGTGCCAAGGTTCAGTGCAGAGTCCGTGTGGGGTACGTGCTTGTCCTGCCCCAGCTGTTCTCTAGAGCTGTCCCTCCTGTCCCACCCCCTTGTTTTGGGCCCCCCCTGGGTTCCTGTGCAAAGAACAGGCTGGTGACACCATGGCACCCCATCCTGACTTATAGCAGACTGGGATGGACAAACAGACATTGGTGCTATGGCAGAGCACCATGTGGGCTCCAAATGGTGAAGGGTTTCCCGACAGGCCCAGCACCCACCTGTGCTGTTGGCACCCAGTCTGGCTATCTCGACGACACCCCCTTATCTCCCTGCCCCTGCTTCTTCCCCACCCGCTGCTGTGAGTAGAGATGTTTTGGGAGGGTTGGGTGAAAAAAGGCAGATAAGAGGCTGCCACCCGTTGGATCCCACCCACGATGTGAATCCACGCCCTTTCTGGTTACCTACATAGTGTCCAGAAATCCATGGGGTCCCTGCTGTAGGCTGCATTGTGCTGCTTTGCCCAGCCACGACCTTGGCCAAGGACGGATCCTGGTACATGGATGTGGCCACTGTGTACCACAGGGCTCTGGGACAATAGGGTCCCTGTCCCTGCTGGGGGATGTCCCACAGAGTGAACTCTGGGGGCTGAGCCACTGTGCACAGCACCACGTGCACAGCCTCTCTTCAGGGATGGAGGTATTAAAAATGTCTGGTCCTGCTTGCAAGGCATTGCGGCCCCACCAGAGCTGTATCTGTACCGTGTTATCCTCAGCAGGGTGAAGTAAACCTGTAAAGGGCCCTTTTGAATGGGAAAAGTTGAAGCCATTGGGGTGGCAGAACCGGGATATTCCCACAGGAGTGGGGAATAGATGGGTCCTCACCTAGACCCTTTCCCCTTGGAGCTGATGGGGCTTTTGGTGCCACTGCTGAGGAGAGACCTGTGGAAACGTGGTCTGTGTCTGAGTGTCCTGCAGTGTGGGGCTGGGCAGGCTGGCCAGCTGCCCTCTGAATCAGATTTTCTCTTCTGCCCCATCAGCACTGTGGGTGAGGGTCCAGCACCATGGTGTGAGGCCAAACTCTGCACTGTCAGGAGCCGCTCACTCCATCCGTGCCCCAATTTCTCTGCTGTGTTTGTAAAATGGAGCTGGGAACAGAGGGCTCCCACACACGGAATGTGTCCTTGCGGCCAGGAGTGCTGGATGGAGACATCCCATCCCTCCTGGGCACTCCCAGCCCAGGGCTGTGCCAGCACTGTCACCCGGTGCAGCCCTGTACCTCAACTCTTGGACTTCTCAGGATATTTCCAACAGAACCCCCTCTGCCAGCTCTGGCATTGAGTGCTGCAAGTTGCTCCAGGGCCACGTCTGAGATGTGCCAGGAGGAAGGAAACAAAAAAAACAACCAACCCACTGGCAGCCCCGTGGGAGCCCCACACCAACATGGCACCTGGGGAAACTGAGGCTCAGCACTGATGTCTGGCAAAGGTCGTGCCATGAGTCAGCAGCACGCTGTCAGCAGGACACAGCACTGGAGCCAGCAATCTCACCCTGCCACCCTTCTCCGCTTCGAGACCCCCCACCCTACTTCTCTCCTTCCACCTCCCTTTGAGGCTTCCTTGGGAATTTATGGCTGCGCTCGTGCTGGCTCAAGCCGGGGTTATTTTTAGACTCTATAAAAAGCTGCCAGAGCCACTTTGCGCTCCGCTCCCGCGTGGTGCACTGGGAATATTCACGCTTGGTGAATTGGCACCTGCTGGCGGGGCCGTGCTGGCTGCTCGCCGAGTTGGGGGCTCGCAGAGCTCCAGGCGAGCTGGGGTGTTTTGGCCGCTGCCACAAGAGCTGGGTTGGAGCTGTTCCTCCTGCGTGCAGCCACGATTTTGCTGAGCTAAATGTGTCTGAGCCAGTCTAGACAAGAGCTTACAGCGACCGCTTCTCGCTGCCCCCTCCGGTGCCCGCAGTGCTGCCACAGGGATGCAGCTTCACATCAGGCTGTGTGATGCTCAGGCTGGATCCAGGTGCAGTGGAGTGCCCGTCCAGCCCAAGGCTGCCATAACCTTTGTGTTATCTGCTGGTTTTTGCCCCTGGTGCTGCTGGCTGCTGGGTGAATTCCTGAGGAATAAGGCCAAAAGGTGGCACACAGTGGCCCATATACCCGTGTTCTAAGCGGTGGGTGATGTCCTGTCACTGTGCCCTCCCCAGCCCTCACCCCTTTCTCCATGTCATACAGATCGACGAGATGCCAGAAGCTGCAGTAAAATCCTCCTCCAACAAATACCAAGTCTTCTTCTTTGGGACCCATGAAACGTGAGTGGAGCCGTGGTGCATGTGGGGAATGGGGTCAGTGGGGTCATAGATGGGACCCACTCTCTGTGGTCTGGGTCTCTGTGGGTGCCGTGATGCCAATGAGGTCCTTCCCAGCTGCTGTTGTTACTCACTGCTTCCCCCTGAGCAGGGCATTCCTGGGGCCCAAAGACCTCTTCCCCTATGAAGAATGCAAGGAGAAGTTTGGGAAACCCAACAAAAGGAAAGGGTTCAGTGAAGGTTTGTGGGAAATAGAGCACAACCCAACTGTCAAAGCCTCCGGGTACCAGGTAGGTGACATCCCTCTGTGGCCACCTCCTGCCCTGCTCTCTGGGTGTCCTGTCCCACCCTTCTAAGCCCCCCATGTCCATTGCCAGCCCACCCAGAAGAAGACCTGCTCTGAGGACGCTGAGCCAGAGCAAGAGCCAGAGGGTGATGGGGAGAAGAAGGGTAACGCAGAGGGCAGCAGCGATGAAGAGGGGAAGCTAGTGATTGATGAGCAATCCAAGGAGAAGAACGAAAAAGCCGGGATCAAGAGGAAAGCAGAAGATGCTTTGGAGGTAGGAAGGGGATGGAGACATGGTCGGGGGGCACTGGGGCTGGGCTGAGCCTATCTCTTCCTACCCAGGACTCCCCCAAACGCACCAAGGAGATGGAGGGGCAGGAAGCAGAGAAGAAGATAGACAACGAAGAGGCCCCCAAGGAGGAGCTGAAGCCCAACCCAGCCGAAGGGGAGAAGGAGAAGAACAGTGATGCTGCCAGCGTGCCAGACGCCAATGAAGCCAAGCAGGAGGGCAAGGATAAGGCGGAGGAGGTCAGAGACCACAAGGAGAGGTGAGGGCAGTGAACGGGGTGATCCCAGTCCCCAAAATGCAGGCTCCCTTCTACCCATGTGGGCACTGGGGAGCAGCCCTGGCAGCAGGGTGGGAGTCCCGGTGCCATGGGGTCCATCACCGTGTCTCTTCTTGACCATTGCAGCCTGTAGTGGCCTCCCTGGCGAGCTGATCTCCCGCTGTCCCTTCCCTGCTGGGCTCCCAGGGTGTTGCCCCATCTCACCCTCGTCACGTCCACGGCTCCGGAAACGAGAAACAAACAGAAAATGAAATTAAAAAAAAAAAAAAAAAAAAAAAAAAAAGAAATGAAGAGAAACCCAGTAATGAGAACCCCTGAACCGACCTGCATCTCCTGGCCCTGCTGTCGTGGGGCGCATGCTTTGTATTAGTGATTTCTAGGGGGCTGATCAGTTGATTTGAAATAAAAGCGATTCATGCCTTTTTAAAGTGCTTCTGCCTGCATTTCCCACTGGGGGTGTGGGCCCCATTCCTGCTGTGGGCCCCTTTGGGTCGTTTTGTGTTCTTGGTGCCAGCAAGAGCCCTGAAGGAAATGCAAATGGGAATGGAGGTGAACTGGAAGAGGGGAAAAAACTGAAGGGAGGCAATGGGAGCCCTGGGCTGCTGCCTTGACTCCTGGGGAGCCGTGGGGCTGGAGCTGTAGTAGAAAATGCACCATAGACGGAGCTGGGCTCGCAGCCGCCCTGCCCACTGCTGCTTCACTCGAGCCTCTCCGTCCAGGACCTATTATGGGGCAATGGGGGCCGTGGGAGGCAGCTGGAACTACAACTCCCAGCGTGCCCCGCGCGGCATCCCACGTTGTTCCTCCGCCCAATCGCGGCTGCTCCCGGGATGCACCGCGCCAGAGGCGGAGAGAGAGGCGCAACTCCCGGCGGGCGCTGCGGTGTGGGCGGGAAGGGAGGGAGGGGCGGACGGACAGACGGACGGGGGGGGGGGGGCGTGGTGGGGAGGGCAGCGCTGCGAGTTCGACCCCCGTCCGGTGCCCTCAGCCCCGGCACCATGCGCTTATCGGCTCTTCTGAGCCTGGCAGCCCGGCCTAAGCTGCCCAAGGATTACCGGCACGGCACCTGGCGACCCGGCACCGTAGCCGAACGCATCCGGAATCCCCCGGGCCTACGCCGCAAGAAGATCTTCGTGGAACCCATCAGCAGGGAGGATTGGAAGGTGTTCCGCGGTGATACGGTGAGCACACGGCACAAAGCCCGGGGTAAGTGAATGGGGGAAGCCCCGCTGAACCCCCACCTTCCCTCCAACCCTGTGCAGGTCCAGGTGCTGACCGGGAAGGATGCGGGGAAGCAGGCGATGGTCACCCAAGTTGTACGCGCCCGTAACTGGGTGGTGGTGGAAGGGCTGAACACGGTGAGTATCGAGCGTGGAGGTGACCCCAGATGCATCCCAATGGGCGCAGAGCAGCCGTAACCCTGCCCTGTCCCGCAGCATTACCGCTATGTCAATAGGAATGCCAAGTACAGCAGCACCTACATTGCGAGCGAGGCTCCGCTGCTGCTCAACCAGATCTCCTTGGTGGACCCTGAGGACCGGTAATTCGCACGGGGAGCTGGGGAGCCCTCTGCTGGCTTCAGTGCTGACCCTCTCACATCCTGTGCCAACCAGGAAGCCAACAGAGGTAGACTGGAGGTACACAGAGGAAGGCGAGCGTGTCCGTGTCTCGCTACGCACCGGCCGTATCATCCCTCTCCCTCTGCGACAGCGCCGGGATGGCATCGTTCCTGAGCAGTGGATCGGTGAGGGGATGGGGGATGGCTGTGAGCTGCAGCATCCAGAAGGTGCTTGGAGGCTCAGCTGTGTTCCCTCCACCCCCAGATGGCCCCAAGGACACATCGGTAGATGATGCACTGGATAAAACCTACACGCCATCCCTGAAGACCTTTGAGGAGGAGATCATGGACGCCATGGGGATTGTGGAGACGCGCAGGGCTAAGAAGTCCTACTGGTACTAAATCCTACTTGAAACCTGGCCTGAAGCTGTGTTTTGTGCTCTAATGGCAGCAGCTTGCAATAAAGATGCCCCTTTATTTTTCATGGCTGTGATGCTTTTTGGCAGCTCTGGGTCACGCTGACAGGATGCAGACTATCCTGCTATGCCTCCTCCCCTCCTGCTCACTCAGTCCAAGCCTCGCGCTGTGTAAAAGCAGGTTTTATTGTAGCTCGTGCCTCATAGCCAGCGACTGGGCTCAGCCCTGCCCCTGCCCGCCTCCACCCCTCACCATGTCTTCGTTCTCACGGATGTCCTTGTCCAGGCCTGATAGCACTGCATCCAGTGGCACCCGTGCAGCCACCAGCACCAGGTTGCGTGGGGAGAACCGGGGGTTGAAGAGGGGCACGAGGGCACATTGGAAACCTGTGGACAGAGGGACGGTTGGCACCTGCAGCTCCCCGCAGCTCCCCCACCCCGGCAGCACCCACCTTGCTCCCGCAGGTACAGCAGGCGATCAAGCAGGATGAGGGTCTCCACCAGTGGGGCCAACAGCAGCACCAGGCTGAAGAAGGCAACCACCTTGTGCTGCTGACACAGCATGGCGCACACCGACTCTGAATCCAGAGGCACAGCAGCTGAGTCCAGCCCCACAAGGGACAGCCCCAGCCGGGCGTACCTGTGGGATAAAGCCATGCCAGTCCCACAAGTGCCCAAGGAAGATGCCAGGAGGGGATCGAAGGGGAAGCGACCCCATACGCACTCAGGGAAGCTGAGCATGTGGGCTTTCTTCATTGTCTGCACTCCCAGGTGCTTTTTGCTGGGATCAGCTGCCTGGATGAGGGTCTCCAGCACAGCACGGTAGCAGTGAATGCGCAAGCATTTGCTGTCCCTGTGCAGCCGCTCTGTGTATTCCTCCACCGCGTGGCATGCAGCCTCACGAGCCCGGTAGGACAGCGTGTGACCTGGCAGCCCAGCCACCCAGGCGCTCAGCGGGTAGCCCGGAAGGTTGGAAGCAGTTGGCTCAGGGCACGTGGAGAGTTTCATATAACAGCAAGCTGCTGAGGTGACAGCAGCCACCTGGGGGCTGCAGGCGAAATGACGCAGGAGGGCCACGCTGAGGTCCCCGCAGGCATGAAGCCCAGTCAGCAGTACCTGCTCGCTATCCACAGGCCATGCCAGTGGGTTCCTGGCAGCGAGGGCTGGCCCTGGAGTGGGGGCAAGCAGGAACTCTTGCCCAGGTGCCTGAGGGTCCAGCCAGCCAGCCACATGTTGAGGGCATCGGGGACAAAGGGATGCAGGATCTGTAGTGTCTCGGGCTGCGTTTGGGTGGTGTTGGGAAGGTGGCAGCCTCCTACTGTCACCCTGTGCCCGGGCTTTCCCCAGCTCCCGCAGCAACTCCTGGTCAAAGTGCTCTGCCAGGCTGACCAGGCGGCCGTCACCCTCCACAGCAGTGACGGACAAGCCAAGACTGAAGGCCAGGAAACGGGAGAGATGGCCCTGGGGGGGGACAGGAGGATAAGGAGATGTGCTTGTGCGGGAGACATCCCTGAGGATCACCTCACAGCAGCCCCTTCCTACCTGCCCTGCACCCACGTCCACCACACGTTCACAGCCGGTGGCCTGGCTCAGCCGCTGCAATACCTGTAAGGAGAGGGGACTGTGGGTTGACAGAGAAGCTGTGAGGTGACACCAGGGGGGAAAACTGGGACACCCACCTTGCCCAGGCGCCAGATCTCATGCTGCTTCTTGGGCTTGACGTGACGGCGCAGAAGTGGGTGTAAGTGGGGGCTTTGGCAGGGCGGGCGTGGGGCATCCCCCAGCTCCCCACGGGGGAAGGAGAGGACACGGACAGCAGTGGTGAAGGCCAGCAGGGAGAGTGGCCACACCGTGCCCTGCCTCACCATGCCCCCAGTCCCCAGCAGCATGGCTGCCAGCTGCGGGGGGTCTGCCACTTCTAGGGCTGTCTGCCAGGTTGGTGGGAGCTTTGCCCACAGCCCCTCAGTGAAGAAGTCCTGTGGGGAGTGAGAGTTGCTGGACACGGGGCTGGGGACATGCTGGGGACATGGAGGACACGCTGGGGACACTCACAATGATGTAGGAGTCAAGGAGTGGTCGGTAAAGTGACAGGAGGCGGACGATGTTTGCTGCTCGCTGCTGTTCCCAGTGCAGGGGGGGACAGGGGGCACCTGCCATGGCTGTGATGTCACGCTGTGATGTCACCTGAAGGTGTGATGTCACTCAGAGACCCCTACTCTGGGGGTATGACATCATCGAGGGATGCCAACCCCCTGCCTGTCCATGACCTCAAAGAGCCACAACATCCTTCAGTGCCATGCCACAGGGCTGTGACACCATTCATAGCCACAGCTCTTTACCTGCACCCGTGACATCACAGATCCGTGACACAACAGGGTCGCGATGTCATGAGATAAGCCAAACCCCCCACCCAGGTACTGCAGGGCCATAGAGACGCCCCTCCCGCGGGCCAGAGCGGCCCCATGCGCCACTCACCGCCCGGCCCCTCCGCGTTCCCGCCGCGCATGCGTAACCGCCCGCTGGGCGTCCAGAGAGCATGCGCAGTTTTGCCATCACCCCACTGCGCAGGCGCACGGGCTGCGTGCGGATGTCGCGCATGCGCGTAGTTGCAGACGCTCTTCCGTTGCCGGCAGTTTCTGCTTCCGTTGGTTGGGAGGGGATCGTTGCGCGCTGCCGGCTTCAGCATGTCAGACCTCATCCTCAACGTCACCTTTGGGGTCGTCGAGCCCGCCCGTCGCGTCCCGGCCGGGAACCGTAAGCATAGGAACTTCTTAAGGCGACGGTATTTGGAACGGAAACGTGCGCTCGGGCAGAAAGAGCGCCAGGCGGCCCCGCAGCCCAGAGGAGGCCGCCCAAAGAAGCGCAGCAGGAAGAGGAAGCTGAAGGTGGACGGCGGGGAGCGGGAGGAGCACGAAGGGAAAGATCCCCCCGGGTCATCCGGCGGCAGGGAGCCTTCAGCTCGCAGCATCACGCAAGAAACGGGCACCAAAGGGACGCAGGGAGCAAAAAAAGGGACGCAGGGCCCCGTGCGAGCCTCCGGGCTGCCCCCAGTGCCCAGCAAGTTCGTGGCTATCGACTGTGAGATGGTGGGCACCGGGTTTCGTGGGCAAACCAGCGCTTTGGCCCGCTGTAGCATTGTGAACTATGAGGGCGATGTGCTGTACGACAGCTACGTGCGGCCCACAGAGCCCATCGTGGACTATCGCAGCCGCTGGAGCGGCATCTGCAAGAAGCACATGCTCAACGCTGTCCCCTTCTGGGAGGCTCAGAAGGAGGTGTGATGTTGGGGGTGGTGTGGCCATGGGGCAGGGAAGGGGGACTGTGCTCCTGGTGGTCTTTGGGGGATGACTCGGGTGGGTGGGTGGGTGGGTGGGGGACTGCTGAGGTCAGAGCATGCTGGTGAGGACTGCCCACATCCCAGTCCCCATCCTGCAGCAGAGGGGATGTCACCTCATGCCTCTGCTGCTCCCATTCAGTCCTACATTACAGCCCTCAGCTGTGATTCCCACTGGTAGCGGGGTAGACCCATGTTCCTGGGCACGACCACCACTCTTCTGTGGGATAGGATGCTCCAATGGGCAGCATGGTGCACTGAGGCCTGCTCTAATGCTCCCTCCTTCCCTCCCCAGATCCTGAAGATCCTCTCCGGAAAGGTGGTGGTCGGCCACGCCGTACACAACGACTTCATGGCTCTCAAGTATTTCCACCCCAAAGCACTCATCCGCGACACATCCAAAATCCCCTTGTTGAACCAGAAGGGTGGGTTCCCTGAGAAGAAGGCCGTCTCCCTGAAGAACTTCGCTAAGAAACTGCTGCGCAAAGATATCCAGGTCTGAGGCTGCTACGAAGTCACTTCTGGGGCAAGAAATTTTCCGGTGTCCCTAAGGAGCCTAGGGGACAAACAGGCAGTGTGAAGGGGCTGTGGGGAGGTTTGCCCTGCTTGTTTGCAATCTGTGCTTGGGTAGGGGACAGAGGTGTGTTATTTCCCGTCCTGGGGCTGGGGAATCCCAAGGTCAGTCACTGCCTTGTACCTTGGTCTCTTCTCTGAAAGACTTCTTGCAAGAGCAGTTCAGCTGCAGAGCCAGCAGCTGAGAATGTCACTGGGGCTTTTTCTTTCTCAGCAGTGCCCTGGGCCGTTCCAACTCTTTGTCACTGTCCCCAACAGGTTGGCAAAAGCGGACATTGTTCAGTGGAGGACGCCAGGACAACCATGGAGCTGTACAAGATTGTGGAGGCAGAGTGGGAGCAGCACTTGATACTGAACTCTGAGCAGAAGTGACTGCCCTCACAGTCCAGCCCAGACTTCATGGGTCACAGAGCCTTGAGCCAGTGGGAGGAAGAATAGGATGAGCAGAGGCAGCAAGTGCTCTGGTGCACTCTAGCTCACTGGTAGTGGAGATAGTAGCATTATCAAGTTATGACTGTTCTTTCTCCCTACTCTGAGCATTGCATTGCCTTTGTTATACCGTGCTGTGTACCCCACCAGAGATGTGGGGAGAGCAAGGGCCACCTGTGCCTTCTGGGGGTCTATCCAGTCCCAGAGCAGTTCTCGCCTGTCAGAGCCCTGTGGGACCCCAGTGATGTTGGGGTACCCAAGCCTGGCTGTACCAGGAAGAGCATTCCTAGGAGGGCAGCTGGGGGACCCTTATGGATGGGTTCTGCCCAGCTATGGGCAGAGAGGGCACAGAAACTGCTCTGGGTACAGCACTGGAGCTATACCAGCTAGGCTCATCCTGAGCACAGAATCCAGACCCAAGGAGCAATCCTTCAGGCCCTTAGGCCAGTTGCCTCCCATGTTTCACAACTACCTCTGACAAGGACCAGCAGGGGCCACGACTGCCACAGGGTTCCGGGACACAAAACAGGCTGAGGCAGGTCCTGCCAGCTGGGAAGTCCCTGCACACCTGGAAGCTGCTCCCCCGCGGGATTTGAGTGCTGTCTTCCTCTTTACATAAGTGCTGCTGTGGGGGCTGGGGTGGGACCACTGTCCCCATCTGTTTGTCTCTGCCACCGGGGACGCTGTGTCCTTTACAGACACCTCTGAACACCGACGTGTATTTGCTGAACTCTTGAACACGTCCCGAGTTCTCGGTCTGCTCTGGTCAGCCCACCGTGGAGCAGCTTTGAAGTGAAATGTTAATGTTCAAAATGCCCATTAAAAAAGAAATTATTAACAAGCACTTCCTTTTGGCTGCAGAGCCCTGGGGAAGATGCTTAACCCCGAATGCACAGGAAGCGGTGCAGCCTGCACCTGTGGGGCATACGATGACCATGTCTGTCCCCCTGTGTTCCAAATTGCCAAGCATGGCTGTGTATTCAGCAACAGGGGAAGCAGGAGGGACTTCCCACCTCTCCAGCTTGCAGGCTCTGCGTGAAATCTTGATGTTGTTTGAAATCAAAGCAGTTCAGGAGAAGGCTGGGGAAGGGCTTGCAAAGGAGCAGGCGCCAGACTCGACACGGTAAGTCCCAAAATGGGTTGAGTGGGACTGCAGGCATGGGCTGCTCCCTCAGCTCTAAATATTGGTTTTTGTGACCCCATTTTGTGACCAGAGCTGCACAGACAGGAGAGGTGCCCATGCCTGATGGAGAGCAGCAGATCTCCTTCCCCCTGGGCTCCAAGCAGGCCCTTGATGCCTGGGGTGACTGCTGTGAGCTGTCACCCACCACCTGCGAGCAGCTGCTTTGTGTTGACCTTTCCTACGCCTCTTCTTCATGCCCAGGTATGAGCCATGGCTCTGCAAAGTTCCAGCAGTGTTGGGACCAGTGTGCAGAGCCCAAGGTTCCTCCCTTTATTTTGGGCTGTGTGGACAGAGCTGTCCCCAGCTGGGAGACCCCTTATCTGCACCTGAGCCCTGTCATGGAGAGAGACTGGGAGTGGAAGAGCAGAAGGGCTTGGGGAGCAAAATGGGGGTCCTGACCCCAGCGCTGCTGGGCTTAAGGTAGGTTGTGCTCTCTCTTAACAGCAGGATGAAAACAACACACTGGCACTGTCCCTAGCTGGTGGATGTGCCGTGCCCAGGGCAGAGCGGACTGGAAACCAGCTAGATCTTACTTACCCTTGAGCCCCCACTGCTGCTTTTCCCTTGGCCATGGGCTCTGCCCACCCAGAGTCCTGCTGGGGTGGCAGCAGGAGAGAGCCTTAGCTCTCACTCCCTTCCCTGCATGAGGAGTGGGGCAGCCAAAACTAACATGCCCAGCCCAGGCTGCTATCCCTGTGCACCTCCTCCATCACTACAGCTCCAGCTGGTGGGTGATGCCGGTACTGAGCAGACCCTGGGAGTACAGCCAGCCTGGCCGGTGCATCCCCATGCGTAGCTGAATGAGACAGGCCTGAATGCACGTCACATTTTCCAGTGTTTTGGGGTGTTTATGCTGTTATACTCAGCTCTCAGCATGTCCCAGGCAGGGATAAGGGGTGGGAGCGACAATCGTGGCCGGAATAAAACACTTCCCAACCTCCAGATGTTTGGCTGCGTGACGAGAGCGGCTGAGCGAGAGACACTCGTTAAAAATCTGCTGGGTTTGGGGACGTCTGGGTCACCAGGAGGGGACAGCGGGGCCCTGATGCAAAGGATTGGGCCAGACAGCAAAGACAGGGGGGGAATTCTAGTGGGAGCCATTCGTTTTGCGTTTAAACACTGAGGATTTATTCACTGTGCCAGTGAGGGATGCCCAAGCTACGCAGTGGGGGGAGGAAGAGAAGCGGGCAGCACGCTACCAAGCAGCCATGCATGTGTGCCTCATGCAGTGTGTGTCCATCACAGAGCTGTTGTGGCCCCAAGCACAAAGGAAGGTGAGGAGGCATTGGAGAGGCCGGGTGCCTTTGTGTCTGGCTGCGTTTGGAAGCAATTAAAATGGGGTGGGAGTTTACAATCTGGGTTATAAATGGCCGACCGTTAAAAAGTTTTTACGTCTGGAAATGAGAACCATGCGGTCCGGCCCCATCTTGTCGGCAGATGCTTAATGGAGCTCCTGGGGGGTAGGGGGGGGGTCACAGCACGGGGGTAGGGGCTCCAGTGGGAACCACTGCGGGGTCCCATGGGTGCTGTGCCACCGCTGTGCTCCCCGTGAGGGGCTCAGGGCCATCGTTGCGGTCACTCCACGCAGATGGGGGGCACTGGGGGGGCTGCAGTGGTGCTCAGATGGCTGCAGTTTGCTGGGATTGCTGTGGTGCATTGCAGTGCCAGCTGTTTCCAGTGGCTCATCCAGCTGTGCAGCCGGGTGTGGGAGCTCCGTGGCTCCAGTGTAATCCCTGTCTCTATGCTCAGCCATCCTGGGACAAGCGGCCCCACGCGGGTTTGCAGCCGGAGCCGGAGTTTCGTGGGCCAGGAAGAGGGGAACGGAGAGAGGGGTTTATCCACCCTTCCCCATACGATTCCTTCCAGATGTGGGG